GCGACATGCGATTTTGATCTAGGATTCGGGAAAAAAATTACGTAATTTGGTTTGAAATGCGATTTTTTTCATTGTTCCTCGAATGGCGAAATGCGCAAATATCACAAACACATTGCGTTACGATTAAACGACATGAATAATATTATGCGAAAAGTGGTCCGCAGTAAGTATACGGGAGTGTGTTTATGTATAAATAATGGAGACGACGGCAATGGCGACTTCTTTGTCGGATGGTTTAAAATATTTTTTTATTAAAAACGAGTTTTCCCTTTCGATATTCTCACCAAATGCAAGTGAACAAACTAATATTAGAATATTATAATATCATTACTCCACATCGCAGGGCAATGCTGCAGCGATGTGTGGGACGTTGATCGGCGGCGGCGTGGCGGTACATTTGAATCGTTTCGATAGAAAGTCGCGATGATTCGTCTCTTATAATATATTTCCTGCGGCGATTTATTTACGAAAAAAAGCGAACGCCAAACCCGTTACAAAATTCAACGACACTTTTTATTTTTTATTGCGATTTCGTTTTTTAATTCGTTCGTATTGAATAAACCGGTAAACTATACACTGCAGCAAGCAGCCGTCACACCATCCATACAATGTGTCTTACATTGTTTTAAATACATTTATATAAAAATGTTTGCACGCTGGATCTGTTCACTGGTTTTCCGAATGTCCTAGAAACTGTTGCATGGTGGGTTACTATTGTCTGACTGCTCTTATTTTAGATCAATATTTCACTCTGCTTAGAAAAGCTGATGTTTGAATTTCATTTTGGTTCAAAAACTTTATAAAGTTCAGTCGATATCAGCTGAGGAATTTAAAAAAAATACGTTTATTTAATACTTTTTAACTATACATATTCAGTTTTATACACATACACATATCTTTCGAACTTACAGGCTTAAGACCGACAATCATTTAAGTTGCAAAAGTACCATTGTTAAAAATAAAGGTTTTTGTTGCTCGTGTCAAAACATTTTATGACTTAACGATGATTTATTGACCAAATACGTACAAAAGACTAATATGTATGTTATTCGTGAGATTAATGGTTTTTTTAGTGTTATAATTATTAATTATTACCTACGTAGGTTCTGAATTTAAAAAAAAAAATCAAACTTGTATCTACCGAACATTATTAAATTGACAACTAGTTTATAGGTACCAACGTTTTCAAACCTGTTTTTAATCCGAGTGTTTTTCGTCTATTTATCGCTGATGTAATAATAGTGCAATTATTCGACTATCCCTGCGCCGTGGCATTGCTTATAATATGCAATAAAGGTCGTTAAATCGACGTGGTGTAAAGTGTATTTATCGTATAAATGCATAATAAACTCGCGTATAGTTGGTGGGTAATAATCACCAAATTGTTATAATGATATATTTGAAGGAAACTCGTGTAAATAACATTCATATTATGCTTCACACGATTATGAATTATTTCTGATCGTCTCAAATGAAAACGTTTTCTCGTATAAGACCCCACCGTGTTCGGTACCGAAGCCGTCGAGGCCCCAAGCCAGTATGTCGTGTATTATATAATGGGTACGATCGCCACGGCCACCGTCTTGTTTTCGCTCGTGTAAATTAATGGCAAATTAGTGGACGCGTGCTCCGAAGAACGCGCACGTGGACTTAATGACAGCGATTCCGAAACGGAACAATTATAATATTATTATTATTATTATTGTGATCATTATTTTGTCGCCGGCCGCGACGGATAGGTCTGTGTCATCTTTTGTTCGAGTTATGTTTGAAAATTACAACCACACTGTATGTACATACTATTTAGGTATACCATAATATTATGATATAGCTATAGGCCGACCAATATATTATTTTTATTGCACTGCGATGGATAAGAATGTTATTACATCATACTGTATACATTGTTATCTATCTCGGTGTATTATTGTTATTATCGTAAAAGACGATCGGTTTTTCGAAAAATAAACTCTTTTTACTACGTATTATTATAATGTACTGCACTTGGCCGTCGATGTTTATCGCGTCCACCACGATCGATGGCTGCAGCAGCAGCAGCAGCAGCGGCGGCGGCGGCGGCGGTAACAGCAGCTGAAAACCCGGTTTTTTAGTCGCACGCACCAGTCTCTCTTTTAACCCTAACGCGTCGTCGGGCTCACGTTTTTTAAAAAAATTCACGTGTGTGTGTGCATTGCCGCTTCTCGCACACAGGCACACACTCACTCACACTCATACAGACACACTCACACACACCAATCGGCCGAGCAGGACCCTCTTCCATATAGTAGTTATACGATATTACGTATAGGTATATAATACAACATTACGGTGTACGCGTCTCGCGTGTGTATTGCGCCGAAACCGGTCCACACTCGACCCGTCGACGATTGTGTGTGCGCCTCTCTCGGACCCCCCGAAAAAAAAAAAAAAACGAAAAAAAGAAAACGGACAGACAGACAAGCGAATAAATCCGACGGTCGGCGGCGGTGGCGGGTGCGGAGATAATCATCGGCGGCGGCGGCGGCGGCTGAGCGACCCGCGTGTGTGTGTTTTACACCGCCATGTTAGATACGGTCGTCGGCGATCCGTTTCTTTGTCGAGATTTCGATTTTTTTTCGTCATTATAATTATATTCAAAACGTACATAATACGGGTACTATACTCGCGTACACACACGGACGTTGTACATTTTCTAAAGATTTTTCACTATTTCACACGCACAGATTCGGACGACCTTGAATTGTACGTTCCGGCCAAGGTCGCACCGGCTCCCGTGATAACGCGTTTCACTGTCGTCGCCGTCGGATGATAACGACTCCACATACGCGGTCTTACGTATTATTATTACTATTATATTGCCATCGACGCCGTACAATCGGCCTTGGTCTAGAACGACGTGGGTACCTATATTATGTTGCACGCCAGTGGGTCACGATGTGACCCGGAATCGTTTTCGTTTTGTCCGTATTAATATCGATACGTATTAATGCATTTTATCACTCTCTTGCTGATACGTGTAATAGGTAATAGGAATAATATTAATAAAACAACAATAATTCCGCGTAGAACACAACGCGTATGGGTCTATCGGTATACTCGGTAGTGATAATAATCGTCGTCGTAGTCATCGTATAATATTATTATGTCGTAAAATAGTTGGACTATATTATAATATTACACGATATATTATTATAAAATCGCCACCGCCGCCGGTGGTATCAGATTATTATTATAACGTGACTGTCCTCGAGCGAACGTGAAATATAATATGCAAATTATTATTTACAAAATAGGTACCTATTTTATCGGTGCGAGATGGCGTTTTTTAGTGAAAACCGGAAATCAATCATACGGTTTGATAAGCAAAATAAAAATGTTATTTGGTCAAGTGGTACATGACAATTTTGAAACTTACTGTAGGTTGTACGCGGATATAAAAAGGTTGAGAACCGCTGGTTTATATGTGTTGGAATTCACCGATTTTGACAGTCCTTTTTTAGTGTGATACCAATACGATGATAATAATTTATAACTTATACCGTAGGACCGTTGTTTTCGTCAGATGTCAATTGACAAGAGAATACCGGACGTCGTCGCGGGGGCCATAATAGTGGGCAACATGCGATTATTTATGACCTATGTAGTGTGTGTGTGTGTGTGTGTGTCTAAACACTCGTGTCACATAACCCCCCGTTTGGAACGTCTCTACGGGACCTGGTCCTAACACAACGAATAATATAAACGGGTTGTGATTGTTGTGGAATTTTATCGCCCTACGACGTGTACGCGTGAGTGTGTGACATTTGTTGGACGCGATGACGTATGTGCTAGTCCCTTTTACGCGCTTTTGGACCCAGTCCAATAGACCTCTAACCGAAAATCTTTCGAGGCCCGTGTAATCTATATTCGGACGCCTTGACCTTAGCTGTGAAAATTCTATCCCATTGAGCATATATATATATATTTATTTATTTTCGATGCGAGCACCGCGACGATGACGGCTTTTTTGGATACTTGCCCGACGTAACCCGTCGCGTATTGTGTCTGGTCCGGAGAGGGGTGGCAACACAAACCTGTATAATATATTAATATTAGGTAGGTATACGAATAAACGCCCACGGCTGCAGGTAATATAACAAAGTAGTGCTGGTGTGGTGGCCAACCTGTGCATTTGCGTTAACCGGTATAACGCGCAGACACTCCGCGGTCATTTATAATAATTTTAATCCTATACACAATAATTAAGATCGGAATACGAAACAATATCATATTATATTAGGTATATCATAATGCATATGTAGGGCTAATGGAAGGAGAATAAACAAGACAACCACTGTCTTCGAACCGAACACTTAATACAAAAATATCTCCAACATTATTTTTGAATCAATTAAAAAAACAATATATGTTTTTACTATTATGTAATATGCTGCAGATCTCCCAAATTGAATTTGCACTGTATTATTTATTAACATATCATAAATTATTTCTTTATACGATTTCCTATCTTAAATCAAAGATCTTGCTAATTCTAATTTTTACATTAAATCAAAATTGGTACATTAATTATTTGAACAATATTAAAATAATTTTACAATCGTGCCAATATTCGATTTTAATGATTTTTTTATTATTTTCTGTAGACTTGAATTTCTACATTTCATTATGTACGATTATTAGTGTAAAACAATACTGTTATTTGGATAAACGGGTAATTATAATTTTAAAAGGGATAAGAATGGGCCCTGTACATTTAAATGTAAATTAGGTGCTTCATTCGCCTTAATCCGTGACTGGCAGTGTACCCAATAGTTACCTACACAGTTACTTAATATAGAAATATATACTTTAGCAGTTTAGCGGTGGTTAATAGGTTTATAGTTACAATTTATCCAGACTTGAAAATATAACTTAAATATTAATACCAAAAACAATTTAATTACACATAATAATATAATACACGCATCATCGTTATTAACAGTCATTTTTTTTTTCTCCAGCAGATATTTGCGTCCAAGTCGGAATTGCAATTGCACTCCCAGCTGCACGTCAAAGACGTGAAACCGTACAAATGCCATCAGTGCAACAAGACATTCGCCAACAGCTCGTACCTGAGTCAGCACACCCGCATCCATCTGGGCATCAAACCGTACCGGTGCGACATCTGCCAACGGAGGTTCACCCAGCTCAGCCACCTGCAGCAGCACATACGCACTCACACCGGCGACAAGCCGTACAAGTGCAGGCACCCGGGATGCACCAAGGCGTTCTCGCAGCTCAGCAACCTGCAGTCCCACTCTCGGTGCCACCAGACGGACAAGCCGTTCAAGTGTAACTCGTGCTACAAGTGCTTCCAGGACGAGCAGTCTCTGCTCGAGCACATACCCAAGCACAAGGAGTCCAAACACCTCAAGACGCACATATGCCAGTACTGCGGTAAGTCGTACACGCAGGAGACGTACCTGTCCAAGCACATGCAGAAGCACGCCGAGCGGATGGACAAGCGGCCGCCGATCATCGGCATACCGCGCGTGGCCCTGGAGAACGGCGCGTACTGGGGCAAGATGTCGCCGGATACGGCCAACAACCTGGTGGAGGCCATCAATCAGCAACAGCAACAGCAGCAGCAAGAATGCATGCAGGGAGGAGGCGGCGGCGGCGGCGGTTCCAACGGCGGTGGTGTAGCAACCGCCGGCGACTTGAACGCCGGTGGCCCGTCTAGCACCTCGGCGTCAGTGGCCGCCGACGATCAGCCGTCCAACAGGCACGGCGCCCACCTACCCCCCGCCCCGCCCGAGTACCTGTCGGACACTTCGTCCGTCAAGACGAGCACGTCGGCGTTCACGCCCATCCAGTCGTTCGGACTTCCGACGCACCCCCCGCCGCCACCGTCGCACCACCCGCACCACCCTCACCACCAGCAGCACCACCAACAGACCATGTACATGCCGTACAACCATTTGTCGTTCTCAGGCGCCAAGCAGCTGAGCGCGCACGGCCACCAACTGTCGCCGATGACCGGGCCCATGGACATGAAGCCGCCGTCCGTCGGATCAATGCCCAACGGGTTCCCCAATCAGCTGATCTCGCTGCACCACATACGCAACTACTCGCACCAGCCGAGTCCGTCGTCCATCATGTCCGAACACCTGTTGCACGGTATGAAGGACAAGGTGCAGTAGTAGTGGGTGATGAGTGGCGGGCATCGTCGTACCCACTCCGTTTATATTATAATAATCGTACCCACATTGGCACGCCGCCGCGACCCGCGCGGCCGTACCGTATGTCGTAATATCTGTATTTATGTATAGTTTTAAATTATGCATAATGTCATAATAATATTATTATTATATGTGTATCGGTACGCGGAAAACCGTATTGATAAAAATATTTATGAAACGTCCGCACGGTATTCCTTATAATATATTATATTAATATTGTCGTCGTCGTCGCCGCCGCCGCCTGTGTCTCGTGTGGTTAGGTTAGATATATATTAAAACATGTATACATTTATACCTGGTTGGGTATACCGGCTGTGGGTATTATGTATGTATATATTATATTATGTATACCTACCTTGCGACGCGAGCCAACTGTGATGACGCACGCATCAGCGAATTGTCGACGACCAATTTTCTCGCCGATATACGCCGTTTAAAATCATTATTTTTATTATTATTATTATTTGTATTATTATAATTATTATTATCATTATTATTATTATTATTATTATTATTATTATTATTATTATCATCATTATTATAAATGTGTTTTTATACGTTTTTGTCCAATGTCAACGTGTATGTGTCTCATCGTCGTCTCGATCCAATCCTTTGATTAGTTTTTTTTTCATTTATACCTCCCTAATATTTTAGTATATTATATTAAATTAAGTTTTGGTGTTAAGTTATGGACCGAGTGTATACGTGCGATTTTATTGTCCGTATCTGTAAAACGCGTGTAAATATTTTAGAGCGAGTGACGAGATGAGGAGAACAGCTATCGTTAATTTGTATTGTATTTTTTTTTCTTCATCATCTTCTTCTCGTCAAAGTGAATTGTCTGTACCCAAGACTGATGTGTACATAATTAATAATAATTATTGTAAAATACATAAACAACTAACGGAAATCGGGCAGTAAAATACTATCGAAAAAAATATTAAATAATAATGCAGTTATAAATGTTAGAGGTAATAAACATATTTTCTCTTTATTTTCATTATTATTATCTTTTTTTTTTTTTTTATGGAGAGCGTTAGGGACACAGAGGTCAGTCGCGTGGATCTCAGTAAATTATAGACAACGTATATTGTTTTTTGAAAACCTTACTGAAGCATTGTTTTACATTTCTTTTGTGATTGTTACCATTTGTAATAGTTTAGTCAACGAGTCACGAAGGTAATTAACAAATTCCTAACCTAAAACTTAATTTTATAGGATACGTAAATTTAATTTTGAATAAGTTTGTAATTTTTTTTTGTAACTAATTAATTTTAAAACGTTAATTTTTTTAATTATTATTATATAATTTTTATTTCGTTTAATGCTCAATTTGTATTAAATATCGTTGTTCCGCTTTTAAACAAATTATGTAATTTTTTTTTATCGTTGTGATGGTTCGGTACTTAAGGCTAACAAATATTTTTTTTTGTTTTTGTTGAACTATTTTAATTTACGAATTGTACAAAAACGAACATGAAAAAAGTAAAAAAATAAATAAAAATAAGCCTGTACATTATTAGTTAAAATGTTATAATATAATATAATATATGTATATTATAACGTGACTATTAAGTTTGTTGTACAACACATTTTCCGACGGTCTTATATATTATATATATATAACTAAATATATATATTATGTGTATAAAAAATTTATATGCATAAGTTGTAAAATAATTTTTTTTTGAGGTTGATAAAAATATTCCAATAAAAAAATGTATTAAAAAAACGGCTGCTTTATTATTATTTTCCTTATCTCTAAAAACATAATTGTTTCATATGGGCAGTAAGTATTTGTGTGTGATAATCTAAAGTTTGAATTATAACAAAATGAATAGGCTTTATTCATAATGTGTTTTAAATAAATAATATTGGTATAATATTTGTTTTTAACTTCTTGATTATAACGTATTTTTAAAATGTATTACGGAATGTGGATTTACAATGTTTTGTTAGTATGCTGTAAATCATTTTTTCTGGAAGTAAAAAAGCTCAAAAATGTTTACACAGACTAGTATTATATCAAGAAAATATTATTTATATTGAAATTTGGTAATTTTACTACTTTTACTAATACATATAATATAATATTCAGTCAACGGACAAGCAAGCCAACATTGTCAGTTGAAATACTGGCATATTTTTGATTTATTCAAGTTGTGCTCATATTAATGATAATTTGTTGATTTTAAAGACTTAAAACTATTCAAAGGTTTGCTCATATTTTTAAAAATATATTTATCATATAAAAAAAAACAATCGATTGTAGAAACCAGGGCTTGCATTTGAAAAATAAATTTTGTTTTACGTTATTTACAATCAAAACGTTATACAAATTTTGAGTTTATCGTTATTCAAAATTTAAACGTTATTCAACTTTTGTGTTTATCGTTATTCAGAATTAAAACGTTATACAATTTTTGCGTTTATCGTTATTCATAATTAAAACGTTATACAATTTTAGCGTTTATCGTTATTTAAAATTTAAAAGTATACGACTATGACCTTTTTTTTGGGACATAATTTCCCTATTCTGAGTTTTAAGTAGGTATTGTTTAATTTTATTTATTTAATTAAATGGGTTAAACTAATATAAAGAAAACGTATGCACGTTAAAACTATAAGTATATTAGTATAAAATATAAATATTAAACATTTGACAACAATTAGACAAACACTGACGAGTGAATAAATCTGAGCAAACTGAACACCGAACACAATAGTTGAATAACTTGAGTGGTATAAATTTCGACCGTAGTACAGATAGTACAGTACAATATTATCAGAGCATCACTATTATTAGCTATTGGTAATTAAATTATTCTATTAATAACTTCTTATTAAGTTTTAAAATAATATCTAATACGGGATCTCCCGGATAGGCCGGATACGGAATAAAATTAATTCTTGGATTGAATAAATAATTGAATACTACTAAGTATTATTAAATAATTGGGAATTAATTATTGCGTTTAATGGAATACAATATATACTGTTTTGCGTTATGTTTTGTTTAATGATACATCATATATTTTGTTAAACGTTACGTTTTGTTTTGTGTTATTTATTTATTTACGTTTATCGTTTTCCGTCATAATTACGTTTACAAATTTCAATCGTTTTTTATCAAATATAACGTTATAATCATAACGTTATTATAACGTTTTCAAGCCCTGGTAGAAACGAAATGTGTTAGAAGTAGTTTTTAAGTGATGGTCACAAAGATGGCATGGGTAGTAATTTTAATCCATGGCTAAAATTTATCATTTTACGCTGCACCATAGCGTTGGTATTTTCCAGGTGGGATGTGATTATTGAAATGTTCACTCCAATAATATTATAGAGTGTGCGTACGTTGTACATGAGACGTACCTAGGCAATGTGTGTGTTTTTAAAGGAGAAAAGTGGCCTTAACCCAAAAATATTTTTTCAAATGTCGCAGTTTTCGCAACGAAAGATGACAACGACCTTGGGACCGACTAAGCACGGAAACCGCAGGTATCCGTCATCGTCGTCGACCATCGTAATCATGGGTGTAGGACCCGATTGGATCAATTAAAAATAAATAGTCGATAAAAATGTTGATCAATTTTGGAGAATAGGTTTCGAAGAACCACTTCTATTAAGCACTATTCATAATGCATCGAACTCTACTTTATTTCTAACTATCTATGGGTAGGTAGAGCATCTCATTGTTTCAACATAAATACAATAAACTATTTTAGAATTTTTTAATTACTATGAGTTATGAAACTCATATGGTCCTGAATATTTAATAGGATTTAGAATTTGAAATGAGTTTATTATATTTAATTATATAATATAAATTTATAGTTATATGTAAATTTAATATGTATGTATTTGTTATGTGATTATCTTCCAAGGTTTTCTTGGATTTTCCAAACCTTATCACATAAGTTACAAATATATATATATTATAAGTAGTAAAATATTTTTACACAACAAATGTAAATATATAAATAAAAATTGTAGAGACGTATTATAGAAGATAGTACTGTATACTATAATACCTACAAGGGTTGCAGTGAACAATATTATATATAGTTTAGTTTGAGCATCTTACCTTGACTGGTGGTCTAGCGCGTAATACTCGGGAAACGAATAGTACTTGTTTCGATGGGCCGTAGGAGATTTTTACCCGTTTGTTACTGAATGCATTCGTGGGTGCGAAAAACGAAAATAAATAACCTTCGAAAATAGTGCGCGGTCTCGAAACGGACAGTAGCGAAACGGACGCAGAGGACATGACGACCATATTTCCATAATAGACAGCCGATGGGAAATCATCGCAATTGCCATTTACCCGTTTGTCAGCAGTACGACTGTACGAGTATACCGTAAACAATAATATGGTCGATGGTCTGCTCCTCGGTCGCGGCATTTATACCGCGGTCGGACCGCATTGGGTACCTGTCGCTGATAAACGGTTATTTGATGATAACGCGTTTCCGCGAATGATGCGTCCGTGTCTGAGCACTCGGTACCGCGGTCCATATCATATGGTTACTCGTGGTGATTGGTTAACAGTGAAATTTTTTGTTAGCCATAGTTGACCATTGACTATACTTATTTCTCACAACAGTCGTCGCCATCAGTTTTCTCTGTAACCGTATTGTCTGCACCGTCTAATTTACTGACGACTTTCGATCTTGAAGTTACTGTTCGTAAACTATTTCGATTCACCTAGATAGTACCCTCAACAACAGTTTTCTCGTCTCCGTCTCCAACTCTAAAGAAAGACTTCGAATACGTATATACACTATACAGTGATATTGTGCAGTCAGACAAAATTTCAACGGAACAAGTCTTGAACGAGCCCCCGGCCCAACAGAACGCATTGCCAGCTGTTTCCCGAAGATTATGCGCTGTTCGGGTAAGAGGCACATAAGATACATGTATATTACTTATTGTTTCACCTTTTTTTTGTAAGAATAGTGACAGTTGCATACGCCTCTATGACGTGTAGGTAATTTGATTCTATTGTATTCATATAGAACTATAGTATGTATATAGGTATTATAATATATTATGTTTAAAGAATCCAAGTAAAACCTTGTAAAATAGTTGCATGGTATATAATAAATATATTAATTTCAGCATTATATAAACTGTACAGTATCTTTGATTCGTCTTATAACAGTATTCTGTATAGAAAACTAACTATAATTTATAAATTATAGTCGATAGCCAATAGAATATTATTATATACCTATAGATCATGCTTACAGGTAATATAGATATGCAGTGTTATTATATTATTGTGGTCGATAGTGACATAAGTAGGGTGTGATTTTTAACAGGGTGAAGGACAAAAATGCCATGGATATAAGACGTTTTCAGTTTTAGATAACGGTGCTTCGTTATACATGTATACCACCTGATAAAATGTAATAGGTAATATTACATAATATTTTACTTAAACGGAAAAACATCGATCGAAACAATAATAACCAATAACACTATTTTTATATAAATTGTAACAAAATAATTATGTGTTCTACACACTTAATACTGTTTAACGTACTATATCTATAAAAAAAAAATTACTTACAAAAAAATAATTCTTAACGAATAGTTAAAAATTATATATTTACAATTTTGTAAAAACAACAATTTTTCTGTGTAACAATTAATGGTCCATTGGATTGCAATTTTTTAATATTATTTTTTCCAACTGGTCCAAACAGACTTTGCATTGTACGTAAATACTTAATATCCATCGGCGGTTAGCGTGTCTAGTCTATTGATAGGTTCTTAATTTAATTTTTATTCACGTGAATAATATATTCGGTTTTGTTGTTTATAGACCGATTGGAAGGTAGCGGCAGCGTATCAAACAACAGTATTGTATTATATTACAAGGTTCTAAACATTAATAAAAAAAAAACATCTAAACCGTTGTGATTACGCGACAATAATCGTATAAAACTATACACGCGATAGTCACGTCCTATAATTTTTACGATCATCACCACCACACCGCACACATGACATAATAATGATACAAGACATGTACCTATGTACAGAGCGATAAATCTGACATATTATTCTACAC